AGCTTTAGTGATCAGCCAGCACTCCGTGGCATATAGAGTGACCGGCTCATCGCTGCTGTATTAGTTTTCGATTTCAGGCAGATTGGGATCTTCTTATCACACATTACGCCTGTTGTTGCTCTCCACTTGATCCATGCGCATTTACACACCTGTGAGTATCCAACATTCCTGGCTGAGGTGATCTTTGTGCCGAGGTATTTAAAGCTGGTCACTTTGTTGAGGTCAGTACCATTGATATTAATGGAGCCATCCTCTACAGTTATGTTTATTTATATTCTGCTTTTTCTCTCCACAGGAGACTCAAAGCAGGTTGTTGTTGTTGTTATGATGTTTATTTACACCCCGCTTTTTCTCTCCACAGGAGTCTCAAAGGGGTTTTTTGTTGTTGTTGTTGTTGTTGTTGTTATGATGTTTATTTATACCCCGCTTTTTCTCTCCACAGGAGTCTCAAAGGGGTTTTTTGTTGTTGTTGTTGTTGTTGTTGTTATGATGTTTATTTATATCCCGCTTTTTTCTCTCCGCAATTAGACTCAAAGCAACTTACATTACAAGCATTTCAATACCATTTAAAATATAAGCATATGCAAACATTAAAACAGAATTAAATATCACTGGCCATTTTTTAAAATTCATTTAAAAAGCATATTCCAAACTAAGAGCATTCTGAACCCCACCAACGATAGAATTGGGCCAAACTTCCCACACAGAACCCCCTTGACCAACAAAAACTAGTGTGTTTTCTGATGGTCTTTGTTGACCCATCCGACACCCCCTTGCGACCCCCCCCCCAAGGGTCCTGACACCCAGATTGAGAAACACTGCTTTAAAGCATTTTCCTGGTGAAGAGGGGCAGGTTCTGCGGATATTTATTATTATTATTATTATTATTATTATTATTATTATTATTTGATACACAACAAGATTAGTCACCCACAATCAAGATCCCTATGCTGGCTTTTGTGTTTGTTTACACGTCGGGCACTACTATTTGATCACATGTCTAGGACTGTGTGATGAATCAGTGAATCATGCATGCAGATCCAAGTAGGGTGGCCTTTTGCAGCTGTCAGATTGTTTCTGTTGTTGTTGTCATTGTTATTACTATTATGTTTTTTTGTACCTCGCTTTTTCTCTCCACGAAGGAGGCTCCAAGAGCTTACATTAAAAGTATTGAACCGGTGCTTGGCCGCTGTGACGGTCTGGATGGGGGCGAACAAATTGAAACTGAATCCAGACAAGACAGAGGTACTCCTGGTTAGTCGTAAGACCGAACAGGGTATAGGGTTACAGCCTGTGTTGGATGGGGTCGCACTCCCCCTGAAGACACAGGTTCGCAGTTTGGGTGTGACCCTGGACTCATCGCTGAGCCTGGAACCCCAGGTTTCGGCGGTGACCAGGGGAGCATTCGCACAATTAAAACTTGTGCGCCAACTGCGACCGTACCTTGGGAAGTCCGACTTAGCCACGGTAGTCCACGCTCTGGTTACATCCCGCCTTGATTACTGCAACGCTCTCTACGTGGGGTTGCCTTTGAAGACAGCCCGGAAGCTCCAACTAGTCCAACGGGCGGCAGCCATGGTACTAACAGGAGCGGGCGCAGGGAGCACACAACTCCTCTGCTGCACCAGCTCCACTGGCTGCCGATATGCTACCGGGCTCAATTCAAAGTGCTGGTTTTGGCCTTTAAAGCCCTAAACGGTTCTGGCCCAACTTATCTATCCGAACGTATCTCAGCCTATCAGCCCACCAGGACCCTTAGATCTTCTGGAGAGTCCCTGCTCTCTATCCCACCGGCTTCCCAAGTGCGGCTGGTGGGAACGAGAGACAGGGCCTTTTCTGTGGTGGCCCCTCGGCTTTGGAACACCCTCCCTATAGAGATACGATCAGCCTCTTCGCTGATGGTGTTTCGGAAGAGATTAAAAACATGGTTGTGTAAACAAGCATTCGGTTAGTTTGTTATCACCGAATTTTATGGACTAAGGACTGGTTAATTATGGATGACGAATTCTGGACTGTGATTTTAGTGACGAGATACATGGTATTATTATTGGTGGCCCAATAATTTGTATTGCCTATGTGTTGTTGTTTTAAATTGTATATTGTTTTTAATTGTTGTAAACCGCAATGAGTCGCCGACTTAGGCTGAGATATTAGCGGTATACAAGTGTATTAAATAAATAAATAAATAAATAAATAATACTATTTTAAAACATACCAAAACAGAATTAAATATCATTAGTATTGAAGAAAACCATAATAATTAATGCTCACCTTAATTATGTCTGTATATTTGGTTGGCATGTGTGTATTATAATAGTATTATAATATTATAATGTAATACAATAATATAATGTAATACGATATACCAGTGTTTGTCAACCTTCCTAATGCCGCGACCCCTTAATACAGTTCCTCATATTGTGTTGACCCCCAACTCATGTTGGGGGTCAACACAATATGAGGAACTGTATTATGTTGTGGTGACCCCAAAATTATTTTCATTCCTACTTTATGATTGTAATTTTGCTACTGTTATGAATTGTAATGCAAATGTCTGATATGCAGGGTGTGTTTTCGTTCACTGGACCAAATCTGACACAAATACCACATACAGCCAAATTTGAATACTGGTGAGGTTGGGGGTGATTGATTTTGTCATTTGGGAATGTTGGAGTTGCTGGGATTTATAGTTCACCTAAAATGAAAGAGCCTTCTGAACTCCACCAATGATGGAATTGAATCAAACTTGGCACACAGAATTCCCATGACCAAGAGAAAATACTGGGAAGGTCTGGTGGACATTGACCTTGAGTTTGGGAGTTGTAGTTCACTTATATCCGGAGAACACTGTGGACTCAAACAATGATGGATCTGGATCAAACTTGGCAGGGATGCTCAATATGCCCAAATGTGAACACTGGTAGAGTTTGGAGAAAATAGACCTTGATATTTGGGAGTTGTCGTTGTTGGGATTTATAGTTCACCCACAATGAAATAGCATTCTGAACTGCACCAACAATAGAATTGGACCAAACTTCTCACACAGAACCCCCATGACCAACAGAAAATTCTATGCTTTCTGATGGTCTTTGGCGACCCCTTTGACACCCCCTCACAACCCCCACGGGGGTCGTGACCCCCAGGTTGAGAAACACTGTGATATACAATCTACTACTACTAATAATAATAATAATAATAATATGGTATTATAATTATATATTTTATTTTAAATGTAATATTACTAATAATATTACTGTATAATGTTTTAGTACAATGTAATATATAATATTAATAATAGTGTGATATTATAATTATATATATTTATATTAAATGTAATATTACTAACAATATTACTGTAAATAAATAGATTATAATATTATAATGTAATACAATAATATAATGTCATACAATATACAATACACTAATAACAATAATAATAATAATATGATATTATAATAATATATTTTATATTAAATGTAATATTACTAATACTATTACTGTATAATGTTTTAGTACAATGTAATATATAATACTAATAATAGTGTGATATTATAATTATATATATTTATATTAAATGTAATATTACTAATAATATTACTGCAAATAAATAAATTATATTATAATGTAATACAATAATATAATGTCATACAATATACAATACACTACTAATAATAATAATATGATATTATAATTATATATTTTATGTTAAATGCAATATTACTAAAATATTACTGTATAATGTTTTAATACAATGTAATATATAATATTAATAATAGTGTGATATTATAATTATATATATTTATATTAAATGTAATATTACTAACAATATTACTGTAAATAAATAGATTATAATATAATGTAATACAATAATATAATGTCATACAATATACAATACACTAATAATAATAATAATATGATATTATAATAATATATTTTATATTAAATGTAATATTACTAATACTATTACTGTATAATGTTTTAGTACAATGTAATATATAATATTAATAATAGTGTGATATTATAATTATATATTTTATATTAAATGTAATATTACTAATAATATTGCTGTATAATGTTTTAGTACTATGTAATATATAATATTAATAATAGTGTGGTATTATTATTATATATTTTATATTAAATGGAATATTACTAAAAACATTGCTGTATAATGTTTTAGTACAATGCAATATATAATATTCATAATAGTATGATATTATATATATTTATATTAAATCTAATATTACTAATAATATTACTGTAAATAAATAAATTATAATATTATAATGTAATACAATAATATAATGCCATACAATAAACAATATACTACTACTACTAATAATAATAATAATAATAATAGTGTGATATTATAATTATATATTTTATATTAAATGCAATATTACTAATACTATTACTGTATAATGTTTTAGTACAATGTAATATATAATATTAATAATAGTGTGATATTATAATTATATATTTTATATTAAATGGAATATTACTAAAAACATTGTTGTATAATGTTTTAGTACAATGTAATATATAATATTAATAATAGTGTGATATTATAATTATATATTTTATATTAAATGTAATATTACTAATACTATTACTGTATAATGTTTTAGTACAATGTAATATATAATATTAATAATAGTGTGATATTATAATTATATATTTTATATTAAATGTAATATTACTAATACTATTACTGTATGTTTTAGTACAATGCAATATATAATATTAATAATAGTGTGATATTATAATTATATATTTTATATTAAATGCTATATTACTAATACTATTACTGTATAATGTTTTAGTACAATGCAATATATAATATTAATATTGGCCTATGGTAATAATATGATATATCGTATTTACTTTTTACTTGTAAGCTGCTCTGAGTCCCCTTTGGGGTGAGAAGGGCGGCATAGAAATGCCGTCAATAAATAAATATAAATAATAAATAAATAGCAACAGATTGAAGGCCCGCTTACCTGCGTGCTCCATGTTCCCTCGGTCAGCCAGGATGTCACGGCGAAGGGACACAGCCTGCCCTCAATCTGAACCTTCTTCGCTTTGGTTTGCAAGGCCTGCCAGGAAAGAGAGAAAGGGATGCGTTGAAGGCATCGACCGTCCTAACAGAGGTCCTCCTCTCCTGCTCAGATTCCCAGGGAACGAAGAAGGGACAACGTGCAAGCGTGCAAGCGCAACTCCCCAGCAGGCAACGCCAGCCACATGGGTGATGTTTATCACGAGCGAAAGAAAGCCTCGGGAGGTAAACACACCTTGCCGGGTTCTAGGAAACGCCTGCTTCTCGCCTTCCCTCTACTACTCCGTGTGTGTCGACGCATCCCATAAAAGCGAGTTATGAGTACGTCCCTCTGGAAAACACACCCTGCCTTACAACTCGGAGCAAACGGGGCCCAGGAGGACTCCAGGAAGGACTGATGGACACATCCATGTAAATCTAGAGGAAGAAGATAGGCTTGGGTAACCACAGAAAAATTTGTTTCTAAACTCGTTTCGTTTTTAGGGGGCCCTTGCGTTTCGTTTTTTTTAAAAATTCCGAAATTTTCCTTTAAAAAAATTTCAAAATTTACAAAATTTCGTATAATTTCGAATCGATTCGTTAATGGCGGACGCGATTGCGCAATATGCTAAAAAAAACCTCCAAACGGGACATGGGGAACTTCTGAAGCTTCCCTCTCCCGCTGTTGTGTGATAAAACAAACAACAACTATAAAACTTGCACCAGGCATGCAAAAATAATTACGAAATAATTACGAAATAATTGCAAAATAATTACGAAATAATAACAAAATTATTACAAAATAAATTGAAAAAATTGTTTCGATTTTTAATTACTCCTGCATGGCTCAATATTGGATCCTAAGCTAATTTAAATACGAATTAATAACGAATTACGAAATTAACGAACGAAACCGCCCAAGCCTAGAAGAAGAATATTAGAGGTCCCCCAAAGGCCATCCAGTCCAGCCCCATTCCTCCAGGCAGGAAAAGCACAATCCAATCACTCCTGACAGATGACCATTTAGCCTCTGGTGGTTATTATTATTATTATTATTATTATTATTAACAATAATAATAATAGTAATCGTAATAATAATAATAGAATTCTAGAGTTGGAAGTAGCCTCCAAAGGCCATACAGTCCAGCCCCCTTCTGTCAAGTGGGAAATGCACAATCAAAGCACCCCAACAGATGGCCATCCACTCTCTGCTTAATAAATAATAATAATAATAATAATAATAATAATAATAATAATAATAATAGAGGTGGAAGGGGGCCCCAAAGGCCATCCAGTCCAGCCCCCTTCTGTCAGGCAGGAAAAGCACAGTCAAAGCATCCCAACAGATGGCCATCCAGGGTCTGCTTAATAATAATAATAATAATAATAATAATAATAATAATAATAATAATAGAGTTCTAGAGTTGGAAGGGAACCCCAAAGGCCATCCAGTCAAGCCCCATTCTGTCAGGCAGGAAAAGCACAATCAAAGCACCCCAAGAGATAGCCATCCAGCCTCTGCTTAATTATTATTATTATTATTATTATTATTATTATTAATAATAATAATAATAATAATAATAATAATAGGGTTCTAGAGTTGGATGTGGCCTCCAAAGGCCATCCAGTCCAGCCCCCTTCTGTTAGGCAGGAAAATCACAGTGAAAGTACCCCCAATGAATGGCAATCCAGCCTCTGCTTAATAACAATAACAACAACAACAACAACAACAACAATAGAATTCTAGATTTGGAAGGGACCCCAAAAGATCATCCAGTCCAACCCCATTCTGTCAGACAGGAAAAGCACAGTCAAAGCACCCCCAACAGATGGCTATCCAGCCTCTACTTAAATAATAATAATAATAATAATAATAATAATAATAATAATAATAATAATAATAGAGTTCTAGAGTTGGAAGGGGCCCCCAAATGCCAACCAGTCCAGCCCCCCTTCAATTTGGCAGGAAAAGCACTTACATAAAGAATAGTAACAAGAACCATAATAATAACCATAACCATAACAATAACAATAATAATAATAATAATAATAATAATAAATTTTAATTCTGTACCCATTACTATGGCCCGGCCCAGTTTTATTGTGTTTTGGTGTACTGTTTATTGTTTTGTTGTTTAATATTGCTTTAATTGTTTTTAATTTTGCTTTAGGTGTTGTGTTGTTATGTTGTGTTTTGAGACCTTGGCCTTTGTAAGCCACATCGAGTCCTTCGGGAGATGCTAGCGGGGGCCAAATAAAGTTTAATAATAATAATAATAATAATAATAATAATAATATTTTGCTTGGGAAGTGTTCGACTTGTGATTTTGTGATACGAAATCCAGCATATAGATCTCGTTTGCTGTGACATACTGTGCTTTTGTGTCAATAATAACATTTTGCCAGTGATTTGACATCAATCTTGAGTTGCTGGGGAAAATAATATGGGTCGCATCATCTATAAGTCTACCTGGAACAGCTCCATTCAGCCAATTATGAATGAGTAAAAAAGGGGGTGAATGCCACTGATTCAATGGCTGTATTCCAATAGGATTGAGGGCAGGATTTCCCTGGTGAAGCCAGCCAAGGAAAGCAGAATAAGCGGGGATTGTTTTGAGAAGCAAGGCGCAAAGGAAGGGGAACAGGCTTGCAAAAGGAACTTTTGGAAGAGGGAGAGCGCAGGAGACCAACACGGGAGAGACAGAGGAGACGTTGTGCGTCCACAATGTCCTCACAAACTTCCAATGTCAAAGGGAAAGAGAAGGACACACACGAGATTAGGAGGGCCTCCTTATCTGTTGCAAACAACACATTCCACGTCGCGCTGTGTGGTCCGCTCTGAAGGTGAAAAGAGCCCCACGGCCTGCAAATCAATACAAAGCTTTTCTTTGTGAAGGATTAGCACCCAAAACGTTTAGGGATCAGTGAGTGGCCGCACGTGCCTTGATCCGGACCCATATGAAGCTGCCTTACATGTCCAGTCCTGACCACAGCTGGAAGCCATTCTATGTCATCTCAGGAAAGAGTTTGGCCCAGGCATGGGCAAACTTTGGCCCTCCTACCAGCTGTTAGGAATTGTGAGCATTAGAATCACAGAATCCTAGAGTTGGAAGAGACCCCCAAAGACCATCCAGTCCAACCCCCTTCTTTCCACCATGCAGGAAAAGCACAATCAAAGCCTTCCCAATAGATGTTTAAAAGCCTCCAAGGAAGGAGCTTCCACCGGACTCCAAGGCAGTGAGTTCCACTTCTGAACAGCTCTCCCAGTTAGGAAGTTCTTCCTCATGTTCAGGTATAATCTCCTTTCTTGAAATTTGAACCCATGGGTCCACTGAGTCCTAGTTTCCAGGGCAGCAGAAAGGAAGCCTTCTCCCTCTTCAGGTTACTGTAGGTTTTTTTGGGCTGTATGGCCATGTTCTAGAGGCATTCTCTCCTGACATTTCGCCTGCATCATTCCCCTTCCAGCTTAGAGTCAATCTCTCTCTTGAACTGCTTTGCCCAGAATTGGACACGGTGTGATTCCAGGCGAGGTCTGACCAAAGCAGAGGATGCTTGCCACAGATGCAGGTGAAATGTCAGGAGAGAATGCCTCTAGAACATGGCCATACAGCCCGAAAAAACCTACAACAACCCAGTGATTCTGGCCATGAAAGCCTTCGACAATACTTCTCCCACTTCCTTAAGACACCCTTTCCAATATTTATACATGGATCTCATTTCTCCTCTCAGCCTTCTCTTCTGCAGGCTAAACGCATCCTGCTCTTTAAGCCGCTCCTCATTGGGATGCATGGTCTCCAGACCGTTGATCCTTTGAGTCACCCTCTTCCTCTGGACTGCTTCCAGCTTAGAGTCAATCTCTCTCTTGTTTTATTGATGTGTTTATTGATGTTTTGTTTGATGTTCTTTGGGCTCGGCCTCATGTAAGCCACACCGAGTCCCTTGGGGAGATGGTAGCGGGTACAAATAAAGATTATTATTATTATTATTATTATTATTATTATTATTATTATTATTATTATTATTATTATCTGCTATGCCTAGAATTGGACATGGTGTGAATCCAGACGAGGTCTCAGCAGAATAGAGAGGGGCACCAGGACTCCTCTCGATCCAGACACTAGACTCCTTTGGATGCAGCCTAAAATCCCATTGGCTTTTTGTGCTACTACTTCATCCGGACTCAGCACACAGAAGATGGTTTTGAAAGGTAGCAGATGATCACAGGAGGTGTCTTCATAGACCTAATAGCAGCATATAATACCGTAAATCACCTAATTTATAATATCACAAAGGACAACCACCTCACCCGCCTCATAGGAAACCTGCTACAAAACAGGAGCTTTTTTGTTGAGTTCCAGGGCCAGAGAAGCAGATGGCGGAAACAGAAGGACGGCCTGCCTCAGGGGAGCGTGCTCGCTCCATCCATGTTCAACATCTACACAAACTTAAGCGGCTGAGGAGGAAAAGGAAGGGGCCTGAGGATGCGTGCCACAGATGCAGGTGAAACGTCAGGAGAGAATGCTTCTAGAACATGGCCATATAGTCCAAAAAAACCTACAACCCATTTGTTTGTGTTTTTAAGTGCATTTAAACTGTATCCTCAACTCGACTGTGACAGGATGAAATAAATAAATCACACTCTTGGCTCATGTTCTCAGCCCCGTTCTTAACTAGGAGTCACTTGTAAATCGGATGTTTGTAACTTGGGGATGGTCTATACTTCTGGGGGAGGGGGGACAAGACCAACTGCTCCTTCCATCTCTGGCTTTCGAATATGTCAAGGTGATCCTTACCTGCAGAGTCAGATTCCCCAGACAAATTGGACCGCACAGAGGAGGGAAGGATTGCAGGAGAGGATCTGAACCCAAACTGCAAAGAAGGAAAGCAATTCTAACCACCTCCTCCTCCTCCTCCTCCTCTTTTTCTTCCTCCTCCTCCTCCTCTTCCTCTTCTTCTTCTTCTTCCTCCTCCTCCTCCTCTTTTTCTTCCTCCTCCTCCTCCTCTTCCTCTTCTTCTTCTTCTTCCTCCTCCTCCTCCTCTTTTTCTTCCTCCTCCTCCTCC